TGCTGTAACATTCTGACATTTGAGTTGGGGGGGAAGATTTTGAAGGCTTTTAAATAGTAATCATACCTCAATTCAACACATTCAAGAAACAATGGATGATTTTGGAGGATTGAGGCCACAGTTATGGAGGCAATTTGAGGAGAATTTCAAGATTGAGGTTGAATGAGGTACCGTTCACTGTTTTTCAGCGCTATATGATTTGGCTGTGGGAAAACTAGAAGATTACTTCAAAATTCACATTTTTTCCCCTAAAAGCAGGGAGGGAGATCCAATCACTACCCCTGTTTAAAAGCAAGGAGTGCATACATTGTACCCCTCCCCTACATGTGGCTCTCCCTTCTCTTCTCATTTTATGCATGCCCTCGGGCCTTCCTGAGGGACAGCACCGAGGTAGCCTTGAGACTGCATGGAGGAAGCCTTGTATTGCTTGAAACCACCTACACCTATCTGAAAGAGCAAATCCTGTCAAGAAAACAAGGCTTCACCCCCACTCCTGGTTGTAGAAACCAGTGGCATAAACTTGTGTGGGGGGAGGGGATGGGTGATGTAAATGTAAATCAAGTCTCCATAGCTGGCCATGGAGATTTGAAGGGGGGGAGGGGGAGAATGCTGACAACATATGACACTAGGGGGCACTCTTCACGACACAGACGTACATCTTTAATATGTACATGTATACTTGAGCGGTGAAACTCATCAAAACAGCAAATTTGTAGCTTTTCCTCCTTTCCTCCCATTTCCAGTGCCAATGTATTTTTTTGTAGTAGGAAGTCTGGAAAATTACTCAAAATCTATCTTAATTTTTTCATCCCCCAAAAATGAGAGGGAAGGGAATGGTGCAATAGCCCATACCCGCCAAAACGGGGTATGGACATGTATACCACCCCCCTCCCTCCTGGATTTAAACAAGCAATTCAGTTATAGGACAGATGGGAACCCTAGTTGTTAAGGGCTCAAGAGTTTTTAGAAAGAGCCGAGTCAGCATTTACAAAAACATTGTTGAGAGAGTTTATTTGTGCCACAACAGTAATGCCAGAAAGTTGGATTTGAATCAAAAATGGTTTTTTATTATTATTATTCGTCTACAGCTAAATTTTTGGACAAACTGTATATGACAAAGGCTCAAAAAAAAAAAAAAATTTACAATAAGTACATGTAGCGGCATTAACTACCTGTATGGCTAAAAGACAAAAACATTAAAACGGTGTTTGGGTGCATACCATACATACATGTATGTACATTACTAGTACATTTGGGTCAACACGAGTGACTTTGAAATTTGATAACATTTTTGTGGTAAATGTAAGTCCGTTGGTGAACAGAAATGTCACCGGAAACTTGAATAACATCCAGAAAAAAAAAGAAATCTAAATTAAAATGCAGTAGGACCATCACTACAAAGCCATCCATTAGTTGCTCTTCTTGCATTCGGCTATTAAGGTAGCGTCACTACAGTATGCGTGCAGTGTATTAAAACCAGTGAGGTACATGTGCATTGAAACGTTGGGGTTAATGGATGAAGTCAGTGAAGACGGGACAAATCAAAACTCTGCGGGTGGAAAGGGACAAATCTACTGGAGGGAATGGCAGCTGAGCTGGGGGGGCGGAAGTGTAGTTGTCTAGTCACCTAAGAACTTTCATTCATGTGCCCCACCACGAAGGATTTTGTTTTCTGTATATCAGCAACTGAACACAGACGGATGGAATCGACTCGCATTTCCGGGCTCACAGCAGAAATGAAACCCGGGGGAATAGAGGCTTTGGCACACACATGTGCCTTCCCGCAAAATATCGTGCAGCTTGCCAGAGAGATTATTCGTGAATATTTGATTATGAATTTCCGTGCTGGGGGGTGTGTTTGTGCATAAGCATTGTGCGGCAGTGCATCCTGGATTTTACTTACACAACCAAATATTTTGTGCACACCAGGAAACTTCTAGGACACATACCGTAGCTGGCCAGAAGGCTTTTACACCATTTGCACATTTCCTCTGATGATGATAATTGGTGTTAAGCTGATTCCTCTGATGATGATAATTGGTGTTAGGCTGAGTAAGGAAATTCCTCTGTGCCAGCAATTAGATCTCACTCTATACCAGTTGAAAGTAGACACTGAGAAAATCTCGCGACCATTGGCTTCCAATCAGGTAGCTCCATGAAGAAAACATGCTAATTGTTAGAAAGAGGAGAATCTAGGATGTTAAAACCTTCGGGAGTCATGTTTAAGTGATACTCACATATTCAAATTGCCTCCATCCCATCCACCAACTCTGTCCCCGCCCACCCTCTGCCCCCACTGCTGCGTTGCTCTGTGCCAAAGCCAACAGACTCAGTCTAGAATGGGGGGGCGATTTATAGATTTTTTATGGCTCGGCCATATGGTGTACAGACACTCAGGCAAGGGTGTCTCGATCATATTCCACCCACCACCTCTGCATTGTTTGGGATGAGACAAGGTTTAGGGATGGCTTAAACTGTTGAGGGGGTGGTTGGAAGTAGACGGCAGCAGATGTGCTGGTATGGGTACCAGCACAGGTACACAAATGACTACTCCATGGGTGTACCGTAATGCATCATTCTTTAATTAATTTCAAAAGGGCAATTTTTTTTATCTGCATGTCTCTGTTGCAGCAGTGGGCGTGCCGACATGCTATGATTTTGTACACATTCAGTTGAAAACTCTGGGTACTGCATGCTGTCATTGCTTCTAAACTAAAACACTTGGGTTCTGCCTAGATACAATGTACATGTATGTGTATGGCCCCACACGAATGGGCCATACGCAATGCTTTGTACAGGTTTCCATAGGGATCCCCAAGACGTCTTCAACAAAACGTGGTCCTCGAGCTAGTCACAACTATTTGAGTTTTGCCTGAAAAGAATGGAAGACCTGAGAGCAAGAATTGATCAACTCCACCAGACATTTTGTTGTGCATGTACGTGTAATTGAAAATAAAAATATGTACATGTACGTCCAATGATACAATATTTGGGCCTTTCATAAAGTGGATGATGATTTGGAATGCTGTACTCCTGTGGTGCTCCTTACAAGAATCTGTCAGATCGGTGTGCATGTGGATAACGTGAGCCTGGATTTACCGTACATGTAAACGTAACTCTTCTTGCCCAGAATGGGGAATTTGAACCCGCCATCTGTTGATGTTTGAAAAGTAACTGCTCATGTTAAACGATAGTGCTCTCTGAGCAGACATTGAATCCTCATAACTATTGTGCAAGTCCAAGTTGGAGTGCAGTTGTGAGGGATGTTTGCCGATTGAGTTTAGGAGTCACAGCTGCAGTTCAGCATTCAGTAGGAGAAATCCGCAGTCCAGTGTTCGGCAGGGCTTAAATTTCCCAGTACATTCTGTACATTTATTTACATTATGGCAAAAACATTCTCAAACACTTATCCTTTTATTGAAAAAAAAAAAAAATTAGACACTGGTGATTTTTTCCAACTTTCACAAGTGTAATGTCATATGTGTAATTTACAACAACGCTCCAGATGCAGAGCACATGGTACAGTATTTGGTGAAAACAGACATGCGATGTTCATGTACATGTACCGGTACATGTATTGATGTATGCTCTAGGCAAGGCAAGATATGACTGTACAGTTAAAAAATGACCTCTGGGAGACAAACGCCGGTGCAAGATGTTGCGAGTCCTTGTTGCTGCAAGTCACAAATCATTCCACACTCTCAGCATGCCAACCAAAATGTACACTTTCTGTTTTGTTTTCAGACGACATGTCTGTGTACCGATGATAAAGGTTTTGTTACTTACATGTACATCTACATGAACCATATCGGCAGCTGTGTTCGTTGCATGCATTGTTGGTTTGTTTGATAATTTTTTTCTGATGAATCCAGATTTTGTTTTGCCTGTGCTTTAGTCGTACATGTACATGTACATGTACATGAAGTGGTACATGAAAAGTATCATTTTTAATATCAGGCATTTTCTTGTTGCTTCCAAGATACCAGGAGTTTGAACCCAAATTTATGCATTTCACGCTTCACTGTGTTCCGGCTGATTGGGAAACCTCCCCCCCCTCCAATATTCCACCCACATTAGCAATGATCTGTTGAGTAATCGTGGAGTATGTGTGTGTGGGGGGGGACTTGAGCATTGACCGGGAGTGGGTGGGTGGTAATTTATTGAAGGGTAGAGGGGAATTAGTCAGAAGAAACAAAATGCCCCTTTTGACTGGA